GCCTACCTTGGGTTCTCTGCACAGCATGTGGGTTCCCAATTGTGGGGAAGCTCTTTGCAGAGGACATTTCTCCCTCCATCCCTGAGAAACAGGGTGGAGTGTCTGTATTGCCTCAGCTACTACAGGCATGCAAGAGTGAAATCAGGAAGGCCAAATTGCTCAGGCATGCAGGAATGAAATCAGGAAGGCCAAATCGCACTTGGAGTTGCAGCCAGCAAGAGATGTTAAGAGTAATAAGAAGGGTTTCTTCAGGTATGTTAGCAACAAGAAGAAAGTCAAGGAAAGTGTGGGCCCCTTACTGAGGCTAGGTCTATACTACCCGCCTGAATCGGCGGGTAGAAATCGACCTCTCGGGGATCGAGGACGCGACAATCGATCCCCGAATCGGCGCTCTTACTCCACCAGCGGAGGTGGTAGTAAGCGCACCGACAGAAAGCCGCAGAAGTCGATTTTGCCGCCGTCCTCACAGCGGGGTAAGTCGGCTGCGATACGTCGAATTCAGCTACGCTATTCACGTAGCTGAATTTGCGTATCTTAAATCGACTCCCCCCTGTAGTGTAGATGTACCCTGAGTGAGGGAGGTAACCTAGTGACAGAGGATGTGGAAAAAGCTAATGTACTCAATGCTTTTTTTGCCTCTGTCTTCACAAACAAGATCAGCTCCCAGACTGCTGCACTGGGCAGCACAGTATGGGGAGCAGAAGCATAGCTGGGGGGGATCAGGGGGAGCAGTTGCTCCCCCTGAGCACATTTTCCAAAAGTGGTGCCTTTCTACGCAGCCAGCACTGGGCTCCGGATTCAGAGTCCGGAGCCGGGTTTTGCGTGCAGCTGCCAGCTGGCTCTCAGCTCCGCATCGCCCGCCCACATCCCCAGCCTGGCTCGCTCGCTCGCTCCAGGGCTGCAGGCAGCGGCGGCGGCTGGTTGCCTGGCTCCCCGGCGATGAGGAGGAGGAGGCTCCTACCCGCCCGCAGCTGCCCGGCTTGCTAAGCCAAGCCCCACTTGGTGCGCGCCGCCTACTCAGGGGTGGGCTCTGCCGGGAGGGGAAGGGGCGGCAGTGCAGCCCCCCAGCATGGCAGGAGGAGGGGGGGCTGAGGAGCAGCAGCCCCATTGGCCCCCGGCAACCCCATGCAGAGCAAGGCGGCCGCGCAGCAGGGAAGGCAAACTCCTCCTGAGCCATCCTGGGTGAGCTCTCACTCCTGGGCTGGTGATGCAGGAGGCCGAGACCTTCCCTCAGAGTCAGTATTGAACCAGCGTCGAAGCATGATGCTCAGGGGCACTGTGCCACCATCTCTCAGAGGAAGCTTAAAACCAACGTCCTGATCATGTGTGATCACTAAAGTGTCCACTTCCTCACTGCTTAACTCTCCTGTCCTGGCCAGCGTGGGCGATTGCATCCTGCTGACCCATCTTGCCCCTGCAGTTGTGACAGGAGGAAACATTTTTTTTCACTTTGTCGCCTCTGTTACACCGTTGAGGTGCAAATTGGCTGCCAAGTTCCAGCCAAGAAGCAGCTGCATTTCAGGCTGGGATGAATGGTCTCTGTCTGTACGGATGTATTCTATAAAGCACAACGCATGAAGTGCATCAATGGCAAGTACTGGTATCCTGCTGGCATGATAGCCAGGGCACCATGATACTGTGTTGCATTGTTTGCATCTTTAGTTGTGATGATGCCTCAGTGCAGGACACTATTGTGTGTCCTGGGGCACAGTCATTATGTGACACCATCACAATGCACTACATTAACATGCAGCTCTTTAATGGCTCATGCTCATGGGACACAGGACATCTACAACAGTAGAATCATAGGACTGGAAGGGACCTCAGGAGGTCTTCTAGTCCAGTCCCCTGCACTCATGGCAGGACTAAGTATTATCTAGACCATCCCTGACAGGTGTTTGTCCAACCTTTATTAAAAATCTCCAGTGAAGGTGATTCCACAACCTCCCTAGGCAATTTATTCCAGTGCTTAACCACCCTGACAGTTAGGAAGTTTTTCCTAATGTCCAACCTAAACATCACTTGCTGCAATGCAAGCCCATTGCTTCTTGTCCTATCCTCAGAGGTTAAGAAGAACAATTTTTCTCTCTCCTCCTTTTAACAACTTTTATTTACTTGGAAAATATTATCATGTCCCCTCCCAGTCTTCTCTTTTCCAGACTAAACAAACTCATTTTTTTCAATCTTCCCTCATAGCTCATGTTTTCTAGATCTTGAATCATTTTTGTTGCTCTTCTCTGGACTTTCTCCAATTTGTCCACATCTTTCTTGAAATGTGGTGCCCATAACTGGACACAATACTCTATCTGAGGCCTAATTAGCCTATTACTGTCCTGAGACCTCCAGGTGAAGCAGCAATCCAACTGTATGGAATCAGGAGACATGCATTCAATTCCCAGCTCTGCCAGTGACTCCCTGGGTGACTTTGAACAAGTCATTTAGTCTGACTGTGCCTCTGTTCTCCATCTGTAGGTACATTTACATTGGAGCTGGAGGCGTCATGCCCAGCTGGAGGAAACATACTGGTGCTAGCTCGGATCAAACTAGAGCGCTAAAAATAGAAGTGTAATGGCATGAGCACCAGGAGGGGCTGGTCACCTGAGGGCTTATCAAGGGTCTCAGGTGGGATCACACTCAGGATGGCTAGCCCCTTGCACAAGTGTGGCTCCATTTCTATTTTTAGCACACTAGCTTGATCAGCACTAGCACGGGTATGTCTACACAAGCCGGAAATTACACCCCCCTTTTCCATTGTAAACATACCCCAAATCATGGGGATACTTCCTTTCATCCACCCTCTGTAAACTCTTTGTACTCTATATGTACAACTTCTAGCACAGCGGGGCCCTGACTTCACGTGAGGCTTCTAGGATCTACTGGACTCGTTATTAATAATCATTAATAAGCTACCAAGAAAGAAGGGAACCATTGGCTGGAAACCAAGCATGCAGCACTACAGTAGGCACCTGTCACTTGGAAGTTAACACGGCTTCCAAGCTTTCAGTTTTCTCACATCAGGACATCCAAGGAGACCTCGACAGAACAGCACAAAAGCCACAATCTGGTGGGCAGAGCTCCTGGTGGCTCTGAAGCCCAGCTGGTGCCGGCGGAGGAGGTGGAGAAGGAAGGAAAAGGGGGGGAGGAGGGATGTTTTTTTCTCGTGGTCCCTCTTCAGCGGCGTCTTTTCTCCGTGAGCAGCGGCACGTGAGAGACTCTGTCGCTCTGCTCTGGGGGTGAGGGGTTACAATTACAAACTACTGTATTCTGTGATTTACTTTCTAGAATCTAAAGTATATCTAAGTATGAGCTAAAGTTCTCCTGAGAAATGCCGGCTGTGCAAACCCTTCCGTGGCTGGATCATTCTTGTGTTTTTATTTTAAGTACAAATAAATATGTATAACAAATTTAAAAGTATGTAATTAGTAATTTGATACGTCGGGTGGTGTCTTTTTTTATGTGTTCGCTCCCCCTGATGTTAGAACCTGGCTACGCCACTGATGGGGAGGAGGTGACCAGCCCTCTGTGGAGAAAGAAGTGGTTCAGGACTATTTAGAAAAGCTGGATGAGCACAAATCCATGGGGCCAGATGCGCTGCATCCGAGGGTGCTAAAGGAGCTGGCAGATGTGATTGCAGAGCCATTGGCCATTATCTTTGAAAATTCATGGCGATCAGGGGAGGTCCTAGATGACTGCAAAAAGGCTAATGTAGTGCCCATCTTTAAAAAATGGAAGGAGGAGGATCCGGGGAACTACAGGCCAGTCAGCCTCACCTCAGTTCCTGGAAAAATCATGGAGCAGGTCCTCAAGGAATCAATTCTGAAGCACTTAGAGGAGAGGAAAGTGATCAGGAACAGTCAGCATGGATTCACCAAGGGCAAGTCATGCCTGACTAACCTAATTGCCTTCTATGATGAGATAACTTTATCAAAGCTTTTGATACGGTCTCCCACAGTATACTTGCCGGCAAGTTAAAGAAGAATGGGTTGGATGAATGGACTATAAGGTGGATAGAAAGCTGGCTAGATGGTCGGGCTCAATGGGTAGTGATCACTGGCTCCATGTCTAGTTGGCAGCCGGTTTCAAGCAGAGTGTCCCAAGGGTCAGTCCTGGGGCCGGGTTTTGTTCAATATCTTCATTAATGATCTGGAGGATGGCATGGACTGCACTCTCAGCAAGTTTGCAGATGACACTAAACTGGGATGAGTGGTAGATATGCTGGAGGGTAGGGATAGGAATACAGAGGGACCTAGACAAATTAGAGGATTGGGCCAAAAGAAACCTGATGAGGTACAACAAGGACAAGTGCAGAGTCCTGCACTTAGGATGGAAGAATCCTATGCAATGCTACAGACTAGGGACCGAATGGATAGACAGCAGTTCTGCAGAAAAGGATCAAAGGGTTACAGTGGACGAGAAGCTGGATATGTGTCAACAGGGTGCTCTTGTTGCCAAGAAGTCTAACGGCATTTTGGGCTGTATAAGTAGGGGCATTGGCAGCAGATCGAGGGACGTGATCATTCCCCTCTATTCGGCATTGGTGAGGCCTCACCTGGAGTACAGTGTCCAGTTTTGTGCCCCACACTACAAGAAGGATGTGGAAAAATTGGAAAGAGTCCAGCGGAGGGCAACTAAAATGATTAGGGGGCTGGAGCACATGAGTTATGAGGAGAGACTGAGGGAACTGGGATTGTTTAGTCTGCAGAAGAGAAGAATGAGGGGGGATTTGATAGCTGCTTTCAACTACCTGAAAGGGGGTTCCAAAGGTGATTGATATAGATTGTTCTCAGTGGTAGCAGATGACAGAACAAGGAATAATGGTCTCAAGTTGCAGTGGGGGAGGTTGAGGTTGGATATTAGGAAAAACATTTTCACTCGGAGGGTGGTGAAGCACTAGAATGGGTTACTTAGGGAGGTGGTGGAATCTCCTTCCTTAGAGGTTTTTAAGATCAGGCTTGACAAAGCCCTGGCTGGGAAGTATTGAGTAAAGTAGGCAAACTCACCTATTTGTTCCTGGGGTTTCACTGCAAAAGAAAAATGGGGAGAAGAAACAGTTCAGTGTATGTCCATTGACTTATGAATTGAAGAGGGTGAATGTGATCCTTTCTTTGCCCTGAGGCACAGAGTGGAGTGTCTGCATGGCCTCAGCTACTACAAGGTCAGGCACAGCACTAGCAACTCTGTCCTGCCACACTCCCCATCCAGACCTTTTTCATTCATTGGATATGTTCAGTTCCTGTAGTGCGTGGATGTTTTTTCTCATATGCCCGACTGCCCTTCAACCCCTGCCCTTCTGACTTTCTTTGTAAAGTGCTGCTGAGGTCTCAGCTCATTGACATACCATGATTCCAGAGTAATCTACACAGACCCTCCACTTCCCAGATACATGGGGTGTGCAATGATAGCTTCCCTTCTGCAGTTGAAATTGCTGGAACCAATTACAGGGCACACAAAGTTTGGTCAGTGGACTGTAAGTATTGAGTAAAGTAGGCAAACTCACCTGTTTGCTCCTGCAGTTCCTCTACAAAAGAAAAAAGGGGAGGAGAAGAAAACAGGTCAGTGTATGTCCATTGACTTATGAATTGAAGAGGGTGAATGTGATCCTTTCTTTGCTGATTAGCATAAATATTGGCCATGGGTAGTGAATTAGCTATTCAGTCCATGGGCTAGCTCCATTCCTATCCCGCTACATAGTAGATAGAGAAGATTATATTCTTGCTTTAATCAATTTAAGAAAAAGCTTCATGGCCACAAGTAATTAGCAAAAGGTGAATATGACACACTACGCTCCTCTGCTAATCTGGGTCCTGCTATGAAAGGAGCAGTAATACCATTTACATTATTAGCTGTATTCCATTTGCTTATTTCAACGCAGAGTCCTTTCAATGTGTACATTATCTTTCATACTGTGTCTCTGCAAGAGTGTTATGGTTCTTGGAGAATACAAACCAGGAGTGGCTGAGTCTATTTAAATTTCAACAATCTATGAGCAGCACTGCTCAGACCCAGCAAGTGCTCATATATGTTGCTGACAAAATTAGCCAAGTAATCTGTCTCATCAAAAAGAGTAATAGAGCATACGGAAGAAAAACGACACAGACTTACTTATTGTCTTTTCCAATTCTCCTAAAAAAGAAAAAAAATATTTAAAGATAAAAATAGCACCTTTTGTACTAATATGGCCAAGGAGAAACGTAACTAATAGTTAAAATATCAAAAGCTGCGTTTATTGCAGAATAGCTGTGAGGTGAGCAAGTGATACAATCAACATCATACTGTCTAAGGCCGGAAGGAAGCACTCTCATCATCTATAACATGGGCCAGAGAACTTCCTCCAAACAATTCCTGTTTGCATTAGAGCAGATCCTTTAGAAAAAACATACAATCTTGATCTGAAAAATTTCCAGTTATGAAGGAGCCAGCACAACCCCTGGTAACTTGTTACAATGGCTAATTACCCTCACTCTTAAAAAATTACATTTTATTTCTAGTCTGACTTTCCTAGTTTCAATTTCCAGCCACTGGATTTTGCTAGATCATTCTCTGCTAGACTGAAGAGCTCATTATCAACTATTTGTTCTCTATCTACATACATATAGCATGTAATCCAGTCACCCCTTCTCTTTGGTAAACTAAATAGATTGAGCTCTTTGAGTCTATCACTATAACACATGTTATATAATCCTTTAATCATCCTGGTGCTCTTCTCTGAACCCTCTCCAGTTTGACAGCTTCTTTCTTCAGTTGGGGACACCAGAACTGCACATAGTATTCCAGCAACAGAGCCAAATACAGAGTTAATATAAACCCTATATTCCTAATTAAGATCATCCCCATGCCGTCTGGTTTGGGGCCTAGCGAACACTTTCCTACTGAAGGGCTTGTGTGAGCTCCAGTGAAAGGGGTACAGTTAATCTGAGACAGAAATTGCACTCACAGGCATGACCCGCCAATCAGCTCCTCCCCCTCCACTGCAGTGCCTCCTGCCCACCACTGATCAGCTCTTCTGCAGAGGGCAACAGGCACTGGGGAGGGAGGAGCTGAGGAAGGAAGAGGCAGAATGAGGGTGGGGCACTCTTGGGAGGGGGAACAGGGCAGGAAGAGGAAGAGTGGGAGCGGGAAGAGGTGGGGCAAGGGTGGGGCCTTAAGGGAATGAGGTTAGGAGAGGCAGGGCCTGGTGCAGAGAGGAGGTCAAGCACCCCCGAGGAAATCAAAAAGTTGGCACCTGTGCCTACACTGCCCCCACATGATTGGGTAACTGAATCGAACCTTAACAATGTCTCTTTCATTCTGAAGTGAAAAATCAGAATATTCCTTTTCAATATGGAGGAAATAGAAACTTTTGACTCTACTGAGATGCTTTTGCTTCTTTCTTGTTCTTTTTTTCATCCAAAAAGTTTTTTCCCACCTGAAATAGACACATTCCCATGGAAAGTTTCTGCCAACACCTTCCCCTCATAGTGAATACACTGGACCAGGAGACAGAATATCTAGGTTCTATATCCTGCTCTAGCAAATATTCCTGTGTCACTATTAGCACTTCCTTTGCAGGAAAATGGTCAAAGAGCCTACACTGGGTGCTCTGCACAGGATGTGGGTTCCCAGTTTGGGGGAAGCTGTTTGGGGAGGACAATTCTCCCTCCATCCCTGAGGCACAGAATGGAGTGTCTGCATGGCCTCAGCTACTACAAGGTCAGGCACAGCACTAGCAACTCTGTCCTGCCACACTCCCCATCCAGACCTTTTTCATTCATTGGATATGTTCAGTTCCTGCAGTGCATGGATGTTTTTTGTCACATGCCCGACTGCCCTTCAACCCCTGCCCTTCTGACTTTCTTTGTAAAGTGCTGCTGAGGTCTCAGCTCGTTGACATATCATGATTCCAGAGTAATCTACACAGACTCTCCACTTCCCAGATACATGGGGTGTGCAATGATAGCATCCCTTCTGCAGTTGAAATTGCTGGAACCAATTACAGGGCACACAAAGTTTGGTCAGTGGACTGTAAGTATTGAGTAAAGTAGGCAAACTCACCTGTTTGCTCCTGCAGTTCCTCTACAAAAGAAAAAAGGGGAGGAGAAGAAAACAGTTCAGTGTATGTCCATTGACTTATGAATTGAAGAGGGTGAATGTGATCCTTTCTTTGCTGATTAGCATAAATATTGGCCATGGGTAGTGAATTAGCTATTCAATCCATGGGCTAGCTCCATTCCTATCCCGCTACATAGTAGATAGAGAAGATTATAGTCTTGCTTTAATCAATTTAAGAAAAAGCTTCATGGCCACAAGTAATTAGCAAAAGGTGAATATGACACACTATGCTCCTCTGCTAATCTGGGTTCTGCTATGAAAGGACCAGTAATACCATTTACATTATTAGCTGCATTCCATTTGCTTATTTCAATGCAGAGTCCTTTCAATGTGTACATTGTCTTTCATACTGCGTCTCTGCAAGGCTGTTATGGTTCTTGGAGATTACAAACCAGGAGTGGTTGAGTCTATTTAAATTTCAACAATGTATGAGCAGCACTGCTCAGACCCAGCAAGTGCTCATATATGATATTGACAAAACGAGCCAAGTAATCTGCTCTGTCAAGGGAGGAGTAGAGCACACGGAGGAAACCAAACCAATAGTGGGTGAGTCTTTATAAGTTTTAACATACAGTCTTGATTTGAAAAATTTCCAGTGATGGAGGATCCACCACATCCCCTGGTAATTTGTTATAATGGGTAATAACCCTCACTCTTAAAATGCATGCCTTATTTCTAGTCTAATGTTCCTAGTTTCAATTTCCAGTCACTGGATTTTGCTAGACCGTTCTTTGCTAGACTAAAGAGTCCATTATCAAATATTTGTTCTCCCTGTACATACATATAGAGTTCAACCAAGTCAACCCTTCTCTGTGGTCAGCTAAATGGGTTGAGCTCTTTGAGTCTATCACTATAATACATGGTACCAAATTCTTTAATCATGCTCATCTCTGAACCATCTCCAGTTTAACAAATTCTTTCTTCAGTCGTTTCCACCAGAACTGCACATAGTATTCCAGCAACAGAGATGAATACAGAGCTAATATAACCCCCATAATCCTTATTAAGAACATCCCCAGGCCCTCTGGTGTGGCGCCTCATGAACACTTTCCTATTGAAGGGCTTCTGTGAGCTCCCGTGAATGGGGTACACGTTTTCTGAGACAGAGATTGCTCTCAACAGCAGGCCCCACCAATCAGCTCCTCTTCCTCCAAGCCAGTGCCTCCTGCCCACCACTGATCAGGTGTTCTGCAGAGGGCAGGAGGTGCTGGGGGGGGGAGGAGCCGGGGAAGGAGAGGCAAAATGAGGGTGGGGTGCTCATAGGAGATGGGATGTATCGGAGCAGGATGAGGCAAAGTTGGAATGGGAAGAGTTGGGGCAGGGGTGGGGCTTTGGTGAGAGGGGTATAGAAGGGGGAAAATGTTGCCAAAGGATGTTGTGAAGGACAAAAATATAACGGGGCTCAAAAAGAAAAAAAGAATGAGATCAGTTCATGGAGGATAGCTCCTTTAATGGCTATTATCCAAGTTGTTCAGGGATGCAAGCCAGTGCTCTGGGTGTCCCTAAGCCTCTGACTATCAGAAGCTGGGACTGGATGTCAGGGAATGGATCATTACATAAATTGCCCTGTTCTGTTCATTCCCTCTGATGCATCAGATACTGGCCACTGTCGGAAGATAGGATACTGGGCTGGATGGATTATTGGTCTCACACAGTGTGGCTGTTCTTATGTTGCTTCCAAATTTTTGAGTGTGGCCTTTCATTTGTTGGGACTTGTATTAATGTATTGGGTTGTTCATGTGCTGGATTATGTTTCTCTTAAATCGATAAGTAGCATTAGTCATGATCCCAAGAGAGATCACACCTGTGTCCCAAGCACAGATGGGAGTCACCTTGGGTGGAGGCACCAGGCGCTGAAATAAAGATCCCAGGACCCAATGCATGCCAGGCGGAAAGACAAGCCACTTCGATTAGCAAGCAGCAGGGAGGAGGCTTAAGCCACAAGGCGGGGAGAGGGAGGGGGTACATGAATTACAATGTTGGCATTTCCCTCAGAGAGCTGTCTCTGAAGCAGGGAGGGCTGAAGGAGCCTCTGACTCCTGTGAGGCACAGCAAAATTGGCAGGGAGTCAGGGACTGCAGGGGATGGCCAATTCCCCTGCTGCAAGTGACGGACAGGGTTGATTCTGAACCCAGGCTGCAATGAGGTACAGGTGCCCCTGCCTTTTAAGGGAGCTGGGAGCCCTAGCAAAATGAAGAAACACCCATTATTCATACTTTTATCAAAAATGGAAGACAAGTTTTTGTTTAAACTTTCCAGATGAAAAATAAAATCATTGCATTTTAGGAAAGGCAGTGACTGAGCACTTGCAACTCCAACTGTGGTTATTTCACTAAATTATGAGGAACTGATAATAGTAGAGTTTTATAATGGAAAGTCCATATCCTCTTTCTCTAGAAAGGTAACTACCATATGAGCTGTGATGTACAATAGTTTTAAGATCAGTGAATGACTGTATTCAATAGAAATATATGGAAATACACTCCTCTTACCTAATCTAGCTCTCAGTGTTTATAGCGCTGAGAGAAAGGCAGGCAGAAGGTCTAATACAGCCCAATCTAAATCCCACTGAAATCAACAGAAGCAATCATACCCTTTATACAGTTAACTGCTGTTGGAAGAGCAAAATACATTTAAAGCTTCATACTCCCCTATAGTGGTTCTTTGCGCATGGAATAACTAATCATATTTTCATGTGTGCTCTATCTTTGTGACTGGGTGAAATGTGCCCCTTCCTGATGGATTAATGGGTATATAGGAAACTTTACATTCTTCAGAATGCTCTTTCTTTCCTAGAGGAGGAGAAGCAAACTCAAAGAAGCTCAATTTTAAAGAGGTTTTTGATAAGTAAACAAGATGTGAAAGAATACACTTGTCTACCTTACAGCAAGATCTCTCTTGAGGGCTCCCAGATGAACCATGAAATGCTCAACCGCACTTCTTGAACTTGTGAGAGCAGCAGATGAGGCTTCAAGAGGCGGTGAAAAGACTAAGTAGCTGCCTCTGAAGCAGGCAAGAAGGCCTCAGATCGCTCTCGTTCCAGAGCAATTCTAGCTTTCCCAGCCACACCACAGAGAAAGAAGAGATAAGGAGAAAAAGATGTGCACAGAATATTTTTGCAAAAAAGCAAGAGTTAGATTAGGTAGGTAGCTTAGGTCGATAGATTTGTGTGTCACTGACTGTTTCTGTGAAGTACTGAGCATCCTCAATTCATATTTGACCAAATCCATAAATCTTATTCAGGTGTAACTCAGGTAAAATTCTCAAAAGCGTAGATAGTTCTCGTAAAACATCCACTCAATGTGCATCAGCAGCCAAAAATGCTAACAGAATGTTAGGAACCATTAGGGAAGAGATATATAATAAGGAAGAAAATAACAGAATGACACGTTATAAATCCATGGTACGCCAACACCTTGAATACTGTGTGCAGTTCTGGACACCCAATCTAAAAAAAGGTATGTTGGAATTGGGAAAATTACAGAGAAGAGCAACAAAAATGATTAAGGGTATGGAACACCTCCCATTCGAGAAGAGATTTAAAAGACTACGACTGTTCAGCTTGGAAAAGAGATGACAAAGGGGGAATATTTCAGAGATCTATGAAATCATGAATGCTGTGGAGGAAGAGAAAAGGGAACTATTATTTACGCATTTGCATAACACAAGAACTAGGGGTTACTTGATTAAATTAATAGATTTAAAACAGACAAACAAACAAACAAAATGAAGTACTTTTCACACAACACACAGTCAACCCGTGGACCCCATTGCTAGGAGATATTAAAATTCGCTAATTGTATTTTAAACATCTTGTACATCATAAATTAGCCACCTTCAGTGAGGTTCATGTGGACAAATATTTGGATCCAGTACTTTTGCTATCAGTAAATTTGACCAGCATTGTGTTCTCTCCACTACTGTCAGTCAGCTTCTCCATTGTTTCTTTCAAGCAAAATTAACCTCATTTACTTGCAATATGACAGTTTTTCATTGCTTCCAAGGCCAAAAGAGACCATTGCGATCATCTAGTCTGATCACCACTAGAACACAGGCCAGAGAACTGCCCCAAAATAATTCCTAGAGCACAGTTAAAAAAAAACAATCCAATCTTGATTTAGAAATTGCCAGGATTGGAGACACCACTGCAAACCTTGATAAATTGTTCCAATAGTTAATCACCCCCACTATTAAAAATGTACACCATATGCAAATTAAACAATAGAAAATTAAGTTAACTTACTTTTGAATTTTTCAAGAACTAGGATGACCTTCACACCATTAGACAGCAATAAACGGATAAAGCTACCTATGGAAAGACGAAACATGTTACTATCACTACCATGTAGCTTCAAACATGGGAGGTATTTCTAAGGGTTACAGTTTTGGACATAAACAATGATGGACATTTGATGGGGTATGAACAATGATTGGATATGAAGATGTCCCTGCCAGGAGGTGTGGATTCTACCTAAAGGTTCCCAGTCTGGTTTCACCTGTTCCTCCCCACCATTCAAAGACAGAGCGAAATAGGCTCCATTAGGAGTCTTTTTGTTATTTTTAGTGCTCAATAAGAGCTGAAATCACGTGTGGTGGGACAGCGTTTCTGCCCAGCCTGCTAAGAGCTAAAAGTCACTAGGAGCTGACAGTCACTAAGAGTTAGGCGGACTCTCAAGAGACTGACCTGCAGAGATTACAGCAGAGAGGCAGACTGGTGACTGGAACAAGTGGGGAGGAATAACAGCTGGTAGGGCAGCCAGCAGGGGAGAAACCATGGCTAGCAGGGAGGGCAGTAGGGAGGAACAACAACCGATGGTACAGCCAGCCAGAGCAAGTGCTCAGACGGCGGAGCAAGCAAGGTGCCTTCTTCCCCGGATGGGAAATGAACTCCCACAGATGCACCTCTGAAACCTGGGTGCTCACCAAGGGCAATCACTGTGAGTGGGGTATGGTGAAGGAGCAGAGAGGGGCACAAAAAAGGAAGTTTTGGTTGTAGAACTCAAGAACGGGATGCAGAAGACTCTTCCCCACGCACAGTGGGGTGGGTGTCCTGCTCACAGTTTTATCTTTATCAATCCTACTTGTGGAATTTTCCCCAATTAATGTTGGGTGACTTCCCTCCTTTCATTAAAAGTTTCTTTCCTAAACTCAGACTCTGTGCTTGGGAATGGGGAAGTTTTGCCTCTCAGAGGCAACCCGGGGTGTCATTTCCCCAGGTTACTGGGTGGGGACACAAGCCAGTTTTGTGTTGTATTGTTAAAAAGGAACCCCTAGATATTGAACCCAGCCATTGCTTCTGCCGGCTCCACCTGGCAGAAGGGTTACAATAGAATAAATATAAGTCATGTTGGTGATCTCCTCTTCCTGCTGAGTGTCTCTTACAAGCTTCACTGAGACTCAGCCAAACTAAACCCCTCCACGCTATTTTTTTCTCCCCCACAAAAGAGGAGGGTTCAGCTGGTCACCGTGCTGTCACCCTTCACCCAAATGTCAGAAATCCCTTTAGCTATTCCTGGGATCCATACAACTGCAAATGCTGTAGGGACTGGTGTGAGGGAAGTGGGGATAATGCACATTGCTCTCCTCCATTCCCCCTCTGATTGCACAGACAGGACAATACTACACATCTTTACACTTTAATAGGTAGCTACCTCCCTGTCTGGCCCTTACACAATAACAGTTTCAGTCATTATCACTGAACATTTGTTTCATTTTCAGAAATCTTAGAGAAGACAATAAATAGGTAAGTCTATGTCGTATTTCTTTTATATATAGTCTGGTCAATACACACAAATCTTGTAGTAGAGTGGAAAGTGGAAGAATTTATTTTTAAACTTCTCTGCTCTCTCCTGCCTTTCATGATCCCCTTTTACTGGCTTCACAAGAGAATCTCTGAATATTTTCTTGATCTGAGGACAGTTGTTTTTCTATTCTGGCATTTTTAAATGAACACTCCCATGCTGTTCAGTATCCTCTAGAAATGTAATTCTCCAGAAAACAAATATTGTATGAAAGAAAATGTACATATGAAAAGGACAGAAAAATGGAACATAATTCATTACAGAAATAATATCATGACACTTTTAATAGCTGATGCCCATATTAGGAGAGTTGGATTGTGTCCTATTCAGGGAGGCCAGTTAACTGCTCTGGAAATGAGCGTCCTTGTATACAAAGCCCAAGACTCACGAGTAATAGACCTAATTTCCCATCAACCTTGGGCTCTGTGGCCGCCTTACTCTCTGGTTTGTGAGGTGAGAACTCTCCGGATACCAAGGAAACATCCCTGGGAGGGACCCAGCCTACCACACATCCCTCACTTGGGAAATGCCAGGCTCTTCCCCCTTCAAACTGAAGCAATCGAAGAAAACTTACGTTTGTCCTCCCTCGGTTAACCAGGAAAAAAAAACCCGCAAGCACTTTTCATTATATTCACTGTATGATCTGATTAGGAGCCTAGTCCTGCTCCTTCTCAGGTAAATATTTTTATTGATTTCATGGGAAAAGAACTGGGCCCTTGATTATGTAATTATAATTCTCTGGGAAGAGCACAACTTGATACACACTCAAATGTCTGATTGTAAAGTTCATGTTTTGCCCTTCCTTTTGTCCTATGAAAAAGGCACAAGGGTTTGCACATGTGATTCTGTCCCAGAAAAGAGAGGGCTCAGGGAAGACACAGGAAACCTCTCCCTCATACATGTGACAGTGATATAAAATCAGTGCAGTCCTATGGTCAGATCCAAATTCACTGTAGTCAATGGGAGACTTTCCATTCACTTCAGTGGATTCTGAATCAGTCACTTGACACCAGATTCACAGAAGAACGTAGCCATCTCACTGCCTCTTTAGCTGCCTAAGTCCAGCATTGAAGCATCACGTACATTCTCAAAGCCAAATCTCAACTATCCCTGCAAGTGCCTGAAGTGCCCATGGTTTCACTTTTGCTCTGTTTGAGCTTGGAGCTGGGAGATGAGCACCACAGCTTGAAGAGTCTGTACTCAACTCCCACTCCCCACCAAAATCGGGACTTTGAACTATTGTGGGGTTTAGTGTGTGACTGGGAAGTGCCAGCCCTGCAGAGACCAGCAATCAAGAGGAAGAAAACCAACCCAGGGGCAGCTACCTAGAGCCAGCTGGGACCTCCCTAAGACTCCAGACCAGGGAGCCAGGAGAACACCCAAAAGGGGTTTGTGAGAAAGGTCCCTGAAGAGGGATGTGTGGAGGGATAGTCAGGAGGGATAGATATAGAATCAGGTATCCATAGCTGATGAATTCAAACTCTCACTTGTCTGAGGTGATATTCTGCCATTTTGGGTAGAATGTGGTCAGATGGTCAGCCAACTGATGGATAGTTTCTGATGGTGGCAGCACATGGTCTAGGTGGAGGTGTCTTGGGGACTCAACCAAGTTCTCAAAACTGCGCTTTTGAGGTAGGTGGATGAGATGTAAATGATTTTGGTGGGGGCTGTCTACGTTTAGAAGGAAGTCTCTGTTATCTCCACTGCAGGTCATAATGTCATTGATCTAGAAGGAAAGCCAGAGGTCAAGATCTTGGGGTATGGTGATAGCTACCCAGTCTTTTCTTCTGTGCTGTGTATAAATACTGAGTGATCTCAATGTTGTTTTTGAATCTTTTAGGGAATGGAGGGATTCATCAACCCAGTAGGCAAATAGTTTGGAGCTTTTGAATGGCAGACCCTCTACTGCGGCCTGCACTTCCTTCAGGAATCCCAACAGGTGTAGCCATGAACTCCATCTCATGACCACTGATGTTGCTATTGACAAAGCTTCATAATAGGAAATTCTGAATTATAGTGTTGCCGTTGAGAGATCTATCCTCTTCCAGTCTTTATCACTAGGGGTCATTTTGGAGTGATGTTGTCTCCCCCTTTCATTCACCGCATTGACAACCAGTGAGTTTGGTGTGGGATGTGAAAATAAGAAGTCCATGTCCATTGCATTAGGAGATCCTGGGCTGTTGGGGTTGGCATCACTGCGACATCCGGTGAAGACAATGAGAAGTTGGTTGCAGGTGCAGTTTCCTCCTCGAGTCTCTCCTCATGTTCCTCGAAAGGTCCTCCTTTAGGCTTAGGAAATCTGGATGCAGACAAAATGGGGCATGTCTAGGTCTCTTCCTCTGACTAACCAGACTGCCAATATCTCTGTCTCATGCCTTTGTCAGTGCCTCTCTATTGCCACATAATCAACCCCCTCCCGCAGTTCCTTTTCTACTACCTGGTTCATAAACAGAACTCAGAAGTAAAAGGGAGAAGGGTGGGTAGTGGGGCACCCACTGAGTCTCCTTCTTGAACAGTCTCAGTTACTACATAGAGTGAGTAACCTTCTCTTCTTCTTCGAGGAGTGTCCCTGTGGGTGCTCCACTTCAGGTGATTGTAAAGCAGTGTCCCGCAGAAGACGGAAGGGGCTTTGGAGTTGTGTGAGTAGTTCACAACAATACAAAAACAACAAGGAGTCTGGTGGCACCTTAAAGACCAACAGATTTATTTGGGAATAAGCTTTTGTGGGTAAAAAACCTCACTTCTTCAGTCCTACCAATGCGTTTTGTAAACGTGTTTGCAGATGCCCAGGTGGCTACTTTACATATGTCTTTGATTGATAAGTGAAAGACTACTGAGATTGATAATGATCTGGTGGAGTCGGTTGATATCCCTGGTGGGAGTTGTATATCCTCCTGTTGTAGCAAAGGTGGATGCATCCAGAAATCCATTTACACAGTCACTACTTGAAAATGGTGAAACCTTTAGATCATTCCAAAGTTGAAATAAAAAGTCTTGGTGACTATCTGCAGATCTTGGTTCTCTCAAGGTAGAACGCTAGTTCATGTCTGATGTCCAGAGCATATACTATTTAGTCCTGTTTGCTCCCATGAAGTTTAGGGAAGAATGAGGGAAGATGGATTGGTTGGTTCAATTGGAAAAAGGAGGGTATAGTGGGCAAAAATTTAGTTTAATGTCAAATATTTTTTCCTCATGTACTTAATTATAGAGTGTGATCAAGTCACCACTTTTCTTTGTGTAGCAAAATAGATTGAGCTCCTGGAGTCTATCACTCCAAAATATGTTTTCTAATCTTTTAATCATTTCCCTAGTTCTTCTCTGAACGCTCGCCTATTAATCAACTTCCTTCTTCAATTGGGGACACCAGAACTGGACATATTATTCCAATGGCAGACCCAAAGACAGAGCTAATATAACCTTCATAGTCCTATTTAAGATTATCCCCATGCCCTCTGGCCCATTGCCTACCTAACCCATTCCTAGCAAAGGGTTTTTGTGAGGTTCAAGGAAGAGGGTACAGCTATGCTGAGAAAGAAATTGCACCTGTTCAGATCACAGACAATGTGTGCCTAACTGGCCCAGTCATGGGACAAGAATGGTGAGTGGGTTCTTGAATGATATCACCCTTGGGAACAGTAGGTGGGATTGTATATAAAGGGGTTAACAGCTTTTCCTGGAGATCCCAGGAATGCAGGGGGAGAACACCCTCAACACCCTGCTACCAGGGGCAGGGGGCATCCAGGAAACTCTTCTGGCAGAAAGGCACAAGACCGCTGAGCATCCAAGGAGATGCTCTGGCTTTTCAATATCAAGAGTTCCCCCTCAGGGCACTGTATGAAACCTCACAGAGATGTTTATGTCTTATCATGATTTGCTGGGTGCAATCTAGAGCTGGCTGCTAAATCTTTTCCTGATAAAACCCGATTCTGTGCGATCACCTCAGAAATCAAAGCAAACTCATTCTTGCCATCCTGCCATTGTTTGCAAAATAACAGATAGGCTCACATATTTCCTATTTGTCTTTTTTTCTGAAAATTGGATTAATGAACAATTCTTTCCTCTCAACAGCCTCCATGGCACCGACTTCATCTGTGCTCCAGGACTGGAGCACTCATGGAAAAAAGGAGTGGGTGCTCAGCACTCACTGGCAGGCCCTGCCAATCATCTCCTCCCCTTCCACTCCAGCGCCTCCTGTCCACCACTGATCAGCTCTTCTGCAGATGGCAGGAGGTGCTGGGCGGGAGGAGCAGGGGAAGGAGGATGCAGAAAGAGGGCTGGGAGCTCTTGGGAGAGGGGGCACAATGGGGCAGGGAGAAGTGGAGTGGGAGCAGGAAGATGTGGGGCAGGGGTGGAGCCTTCGGGGAAGGGGTATAGAAGGGGCAAAACGTTGCCAAAGGATTTTGTGAAGGACAAAAATACAATAGGGTTCATGGAGGATAGCTCCTTCAGTGGTTATTAATCAAGATGTTCAGGGATGCAAGCCAGTGCTCCGGGTGTCCCTAAGCCTCTGACTATCAGAAGCTCGGACTGGATGACAGGGAACCGATCATTACATAAATTGCCCTGTTCTGTTCATTCTCTCTGATGCATCAGGGACTGGCCACTGTCAGAAGACAGGATACTGGGCTGGATGGATTATTGGTCTGACACAGTATGGCTGTTATTATTTTGCTTCCCTAGAGCCTTGTTCTCTGTCCCCAGTAAAGTTCCCTGTGTGACGGAAAATATGGTGGACTTACAACTTTGGCAAGGTTTTTAGGCCTAAACTTTGGATAAGCTTGTTTCTAGGCTGTGTTGAACTTTGGTTCAGCTTGTCTCTGTGTATAAGGAGCAGAAGGAGGGGGACAGAGTGATGAAAGAGTGATGGAAAGTTGCTTCTGTGTGTCAAGGGGTAAAAGGATTCACAGTGGAAAATCTCCAAACAGAACCATTTGTAATAGTCCAAGCTTAGGAAATATATAACTGCAATACCACCATTAGAAAAGTCAAACCACAAACGAACCAGACTGTGAATAATAAGAAGAGTGATTGTTCCTTTTGCTTTTGAACTGTATTAATTTTGCAATGCATTCCAAATAAGGTAATTAATATGGAATTATGTGTAATTTGTCTGTGGTTTTAAGCTTTAAAAAGCTTGTGTGTTCCTGAAATCGGGGGGCAGCTACTGGGAGCTGTTACACTCCTGCGCTTCCATCAATAAAGGAGCCTCAGGCTGATCTCATCCAAACTCAATGTGTGGTCGATTTTCCACAACACCTGTGTTATACTGTTATTTTTGAGTGTGGCCTTTCATTCGTTGGGACTTGTATTCATGTATTATGTTGTTCATGTGCTGGGTTATATTTCTTGTAAATAGATAAGTAGCATTAGTCATATAGGAAATATTACATTCTTCAGAATGCTCTTCTTTCTTTCCTAGAGGCGGAAGTAGCCTAAAGGATTAATCTGCGTGATTGCATAGATAGATCTTTTCTTATAAGTTTAAGTATTTGATGTATTGTAATAGGTTTATAGATTTAGATTAAAATAAGTTTAACTGTAATGCGAGAGACCTACAGGCCAAAAACTGGTATGTTAAGTTAAAGCAAAGTTAGCATATCTATATTAAGACCTTTTTACCCAGAATGTAAAGTTTACCTATATCTTGTTACCTAAATAGATAAGTACCCACGCCTATGTCTAAGACCTTTTACCTAGAGAATGAAGAATGCCATAGGGGTTTTTCAAAGTTGTGCCCACAGACTTAACAGATACACCACAAGGGAACATATATGCATACATGCATGTCATCAATTCGCACATACATACTAGCCTATGGGGTAAGTGTACCATAACATTTCTGTGGATGAGGAATGAAATTTGGGCATAAGAGGAAGGATTTCCAGCACTTTAACCCTATAGAAGGGGTGACCCACCTCGCTATCTTATCTTCATCTTCAACTAACTATCAATGCTATCGATCCACGATGGCTAGTAACTATGAGTAGGCTGTACTTATTTTCTTTTCAAACTTGAAGTTCCAAGGGGAAAAGACTAAGCTTGGTTTCCCTAAACTTTTGTTCTCAGTTTGGTTTATTAGGTTCTAATTTTAAGTTTAAGTTAGATAAGTAAAGTCCAAGGTAGCTTTGACAGCTCTTCGCATTAGTGTTCTCTGCACACCTCTGCAAGAGGTGAGAAACCGGAACTGCCAGACGCGAGGTCCTGTGTCTTTCAACATCAGGTTATCAAGGCAGGTTGTGAGTATATTAACCAAAGTTTTCCAGAACATAATATTATATCTTTGTGACTGGGTGAAAAGTGCCCCTTCTTGATAGATTAATGGGTATATAGAAAACTTTACATTCTTCAGAATGCTCTTTCTTTCCTAGAGGAGGAGAAGGAAACAAACTCAAAGAAGCTAAATTTTAAGGAGGTTTTTGATATCTAAACAAGATGTGAAAGAATACACTTGTCTACCTTACAGCAAGATCTCTCTTGAGGGCTCCCAGATGAACCATGAAATGGTCAACCACACTTCATGAACTCGTGAGAGCAGCAGATGAAGCACCTAGCGGCTGTGAAAAGACCAAGTAGCTGCCTCTGAAGCAGGCAAGAAGGCCTCAGATCTCTCTTGTTCCAGAGCAACTTTAGCTTTCCCAGCCACACCACAGAGAAAGAAGAGATGAGAAGAAAAAGATATGTACAAAATATTTTTGCAAAAAAGAAAGAGTTAGATTAGGTAGGTAGCTTATGTTAATAACTTTGTGAGTCACTGCCTGCTTCTGTGAAGTACTGAGCATCATCCATTCATATTTGGCCAAATCCATAAATCTTATTCAGGTGTAACTCGGTTAAAATTCTCAAAAGTGTAGATAGTTCTCGGAAAACATCCGCTCAATGTGCATCAGCAGTCAAAAACGCTAACAGAATGTTAGGAACCACTAGGAAAGAGATAGATAATAACAGAGAAAATAACAGAATGCCACTATATGAATCCATGGTACGCCCACACCTTAAATACTGTGTGCAGTTCTGGACACCCCATCTAAAAAAACCGTATGTTAGAATTGGGAAAAGTACCGAGAAGGGCAACAAAAATGATTAAGGATATGTAACAACTCCCATACAAGAAGAGATTTAAACGAGTAGGACTGTTCAGCTTGGAAAAGAGATGACAAAGGGGGAATATGACAGAGATCTATGAATGCTGTGGAGGAAGACAAAAAGGAAAAGGGAAAAGGAAACTATTATTTCCGATTTGCATAACACAAGAACTAGGGGTTATTTGATTAAATTAATAGATTTGAAACAAACAAACAAACAAACAAACAAACAAACAAACAAGCACAAGGAAGTACTTTTCACACAATACACAGTCCACCCGTGGAACTCATTGCTAGGGGATATTAAAATTCGCTAATTGTATTTTAAACATCTTGATCATCATAAATTAACCACCTTCAGTGAGGTTCATGTGGAAAAACATTTGGATCCAGTACTTTTGCTATCAGTAAATTTGACCAGCATTGTGTACTCTCTGCTGCTGTCAGTAAGCTTCTCCATTGTTTCTTTCAAGCAAAATTAACCTCATTTAATTGCAATATGACAGTTTTTTCATTAATTCCAAGGCCAAAAGGGACCAGTGTGATCATCTAGTCTGATCACCTCTGGAACACAGGCCAGAGAACTGCCCCAAAATAATTCCCAGAGCACAGTTAAAAAACAACAACAATCCAATCTTGATTAAGAAATCGCCAAGATTGGAGACACCACCACAACCCTTGATAAATTGTTGGGATGGTTAATAACCCTCACTATTAAAAATGTGCATCTTATGAAAATTAAACAAAAGAAAATTAAGTTAACTTACTTTTGAATTTTTCAAGAATTAGGATGACGGTCATATCACTAGACAGCAATAAACAGATTAAGGCACCTATGGAAAGATAGAACATGTTACTATCACCACCATGTGGCCTGAAACATGGGAGGTATTTCTAAGTGTTGCAGTTTTGGACCTAAACAATGTTGGACTTTTGATGGGGCATGAACAATGAGGGGAAATGAACAGATGTCTTTGCCAGGAGGTGTGGACTCTACCTAAGGGTCCCCAGTCTGATTTTACTTATTCCTCCCCACTATTCAAAGACAGAGCGAAATACGCTCCATTAGGAGTCTTTTGTCATTTTAAGTGCTCAGTAAGAGTGTATGACATATGAAAAGGACTACACATTGAAACTGAAAATGGAACATAATTCATTATGTAAATAATTTCATGACACTTTTAATAGTTGATGCCCAGATTAGAAGAGTTGGATTGTGTCCTATTAAGCTTTTTTCTATTTAATAGTGACTATGAATGTTCTTGCCAAAATTGTTCAAAAAAGATTGGGCTCTAATCTCCATTCTAATCATGTATACAGGGGGGGAAGGCCATATGAGAAGCCTCATAGACTGAATAGCACGTGAATGCTCTTTGCTGAAGAGTTTTCATTCAAGACATTGCACCTATTTCCACTATTGAACATTTCTGCGTGATAGGCCCAGACGTGTACTGGGGAAGGGGAGTGAGTTACAGAACCACACTGCCCAGAGAAGACCTCCAGTGGGGATGGTGACGAGGGAGGTCAGGAAACTGCTCTGGAAATGAGCGTCCTTGTATAAAAAGCCCAAGACTCATGAGTAAAAGGCCTCATTTCCCATCAAACTTGGGCTCTATGGATGCCTTACTCTCTGCTTTGTGAGGTGAGAACTCTCCGGATACCAAGGAAATGTCTCTGGGAGGGACCCTGTCTACCATACCTCCCTCACTGGGGAAATGCCAGGCTCTTGCCCCTTCAAACTGCAGCTATCAAAGAAAACTTACATTTGTCCTCCCACAGTTGATCTGGGAAGAAAAAACACAAAGAGTTTTCATTAGAGTCATAATGAATATATGATCTGATCAGGAGCCTAATCCTGCTCCTTCTCATGTAAATATTTTTATTGATTTCACTGGGAGAAGAATTGGGCCCTTGATTACATAATTATAATTCTCTGGCCAGAGCACAATCTGATACACCCTCAAATGTGTGATTGTAAAGTTCACATTTTGCCCTTGGTTTTGTCCTATGAAAAAGGCACAAGGGTTTGCACATGTGATTATTTCCCAGAAAAGAGAGGCCTCAAGGAAGACACAGGAAACCTCTCCCTCTTACATGTGACAGTGATATAAAATCAGTGCAGTCCTATGGTCAGATCCAAATTCACTGAAGACAATGGGAGACTTTCCATTCACTTCAGTGGATTTTGAATCAGTCACTTGACACCATATTCACAGAAGAACATAGCCAACTCAGTGCCTCTTTAGGTGCCTAAGTTCAGCATTGAAGCATCAGTGACATTCTCAAAGCCAAATCTCAACTATCAATTATCCCTGCAAGTGACTGAAGTGCCCATGGTTTCACTTTTGCTCTGTTTGAGCTTGGAGCTGGGAGAGGAGCACCACAGCTGGAAGAGTCTGTACTCAACTCCCACTCCCCACCAAAATCGGGACTTTGAACTATTGTGGGCTTTAGTGTGTGACTGGGGAGTGCCAGCCCTGCAGATACCAGCAATCAAGGGGAAGAAAACCAACCCAGGGGTAGCTACCTAGAGCCAGCTGGGACCTCCCTACGACTCCAGACCAGGGAGCCAGGAGAGGACCTAAAAGGTGTTTGTGAAAAAGGTCCGTGAAGAGGGACGTGTGGAGGAATAGGTAGCAGGGATAGATATGGAATCGGGTATCCATAGCTGATGAATTCTAATGCCCACTTATCTGAGGTGATATTCTGCCCTGTTGGGTAGAATGGGGTCAGATGGACAGCAAACTGATGGATAGTTTCTGATGTTGTCAGCACATGGTCTAGGTGGAGGTATCTCAAGAGCATCTCTGAATATTTGGTAGATCTGACGAGAGTTGCTTTTCTAGTCTGACATTTTTAAATGAACACCTCCATGCTGTTCAGTATCCTCAAGGAAGGTAACTCTCCAGAAAACAAATATTGTATGAAAGACGTATGGAAAGGACTACACATTGAAACTGAAAATGGAAAATAATTCATTACATAAATAAGACCATGACACTTTTAATAGTTGATACCCAGATTAGGAGAGTTGGATTGTGTCCTATTGAGCTTATTTATATTTAATAGTGACTATGAATGTTCTTGCCAAAATTGTTCAAAAAAGATTGGGCTCGAATCTCCATTCTAATCATGTATACGGGGGCATGGCCATATGAGAAGCCTCATAGATTGAATAGCATGTGAAAGTTCTTTGCTGAAGAGTTTTCATTCAAGATATTGCACCTATTTCCACTATTGAACATTTCTGTATGATAGGCCCAGACGTGTACTGGGGAAGGGGAGTGAGTTACAGAACCACACTGCCCAGAGAAGACCTCCTCCAGTGGGGATTGTGACGAGGGAGGTCAGGAAACTGCTCTGGAAATGAGCGTCCTTGTATAAAAAGCCCAAGACTCATGAGTAAAAGGCCTCATTTCCCATCAAACTTGGGCTCTATGGATGCCTTACTCTCTGCTTTGTGAGGTGAGAACTCTCCGGATACCAAGGAAATGTCTCTGGGAGGGACCCTGTCTACCATACATCCCTCACTGGGGAAATGCCAGGCTCTTCCCCCTTCAAACTGCAGCTATCGAAGAAAACTTACATTTGTCCTCCCACAGTTGATCTGGAAAAAAAAAAGCACCACAAAGAGTTTTCATTAGTTTCATAATGAATATATGATCTGATGAGGAGCCTAATCCCGCTCCTTCTCATGTATATATTTTTATTGATTTCACTGGGAGAAGAACTGGGCCCTTGATTACATAATTATAATTCTCTGGCCAGAGCACAATCTGATACACCCTCAAATGTGTGATTGTAAAGTTCACATTTCACCCTTGGTTTTGTCTTATGAAAAAGGCACAATGGTTTGCACATGTGATTCTGCCCCAAAAAAGAGAGGCCTCAAGGAAGACACAGGAAACCTCTCCCTCTTACATGTGACAGTGATATAAAATCAGTGCAGTCCTATGGTCAGATCCAAATTCACTGAAGTCAATGGGAGACTTTCCATTCACTTCAGTGGATTTTGAATCAGTCACTTGACACTAGATTCACAGAAGAACGTAGCCATCTCAGTGCCTCTTTAGGTGCCTAAGCCCAGCACTGAAGGATCACTGACATTCTCAAAGCCAAATCTCAACTACCAACTAACCCTATAAGCGACTGAAGTGCCCATGGTTTCACTTTTGCTCTGTTTGAGCTTGGAGCTGGGAGAAGAGCACCACAGCTGGAAGAGTCTTAACTCCACTCCCCACCAAAATCGGGACTTTGAACTATTGTGGGCTTTAGTGTGTGACTGGGGAGTGCAGCCCTGCAGAGACCAGCAATCAAGAGGAAGAAAACCCACCCAGGGGCAGCTACCTAGAGCCAGCTGGGATCTCCCTAAGGGCTTATGTTCACTACCCGCCCGGATCAGCGGGTAGAAATCGATCTCTCGGGGATCGATTTATTGCGTCTCGTCGAGACACAATAATCGATCCTCGAATCGACACACGTACTCCACCAGCCGAGGTAGGAGTAAGCACCATCGACGGGGGAGCTGCGGCGGTCGATTTGCTGCCGTCCTCACAGCGGGGTAAGTCGGATCACATACGTCGAATTCAGCTACGCTATTCCCGTAGCTGAATTTGCGTATCTGAAATCAATCCCCCACATAGTGTAGACGTAGCCTAAGAGGCCAGACCAGGGAGCCAGACCAGGGAAACAAAAAGGTGTTTGTGAGAAAGGTCCCTGAAGAGGGACGTGTGGTGGGATATGTAGGAGGGATAGATATGGAATCTGGTATCCGTAGCTCATAATTCCAATGCCCACTTATCTGAGGTGATATTCTGCCATTTTGGGGGAGAATGTGGTTAGATGGACAGCAAACTGATGGATAGTTTCTGATGGCGTCAGCACATGATCTAGTTGGAGGTGTCTTGGGGACTCAACCAAGTTCTCAAAACTGCAGTTTTGAGGTAGGTGTGTGAGATGTAGATGATTGTAGTGGGGGCTGTTTACGTTTAGAAGGAGGTCTCTGTTATATCCATTTCAGGTCATAGTGTCATTGAGCTAGAAGGAAAGTCAGGGCTCAAGAGCTTGGGGTAGGGTGATATCTACCCGGTCTTTTTTTCTTTGCTGTGTATAAATTCTGAGTGATCTCAATGTTGATTTTAAATCTTTTAGGGACTAGAGGGATTCATCAACCCTGTTGGCAAATAGTTTGGAGGTTTTTAATAGCAGATCCTCTACTGTATTAGTGTATTGTGTTTTTCATGTGCTGGGTTATATTTCTTGTAAATAGATAAGTAGCATTAGTCATTTTCCCAAGAGTCAGCACCCCTGCGTCCCAAGCACAGACAGGAGTCTCCTTGGGTGGAGGCACCAGGCACTGAAATAAAGAACCCAGGAACCAATGCATGCCAGGAGGGAAGACAAGCCAATCCAATTAGCAAGCAGCAGGGAGGAGGCTTAAGCCACAAGGCGGGGGGAGGGAGGGGCTACATGAAATACAATGTTGGCATTTCCCTCGTAGAGCTGTCTCTGAAGCAGGGAGGGCTGAAGGAGCCTCTGACTCCTGTGAGGCACAGCAAAATTGGCAGGGAGTCAGGGACAGCAGGGGATGGGGAATTCCCCTGCAGCCACTGACATGTTTGATTCTGAACCCATGCTGCAATCGGGCAGAGGTAGCCCTCCCTTTTAAGGGAGCTGGGGGCCCTAGCAAAATGAAGAAAGACCCATTATTCATACTTTTGTTTAAACTTTCTGGAAGAAAAACAAAATCATTGCATTTGAGGAAAGGCAGTGATTGAGCACTTGCAACTCCAACTGTGGTTATTTCAGTAAATTATGAGGAACTGATAATAGTAGAGTTTTATAATAGAAAGTCCATATCCTCTTTCTCCAGAAAGGTGACTGCCATATGAGCTGTGATGTACAATAGTTTTAAGATCAGTGAATGACTGTATTCACTAGAAATATGTGGAAATACACTCCTCTTACCTAATCTAGCTCTCAATGTTCATAACACTGAAAGAAAGGCAGGCAGACCAATCTAATTTCCACTGAAATCAATGGAAGGAATCATAGCCTTATCCTGGTAACTGCTGTTGGAAGAGCAAAAGAGATTTAAAGCTTCATACTCCAGTATAGTGGCTCTTTGCGCATGGAATAACTAATCATATTTTCATGTGTGCTCTATATCTGTGACTGGGTGAAATGTGCCCCTTGCTGATGGATTAACGGGTATATAGGAAACCTTACATTCTTCAGAATGCTCTTCTTTCTTTCCTAGAGGAGTATGTAGCCAAAAGATTTAATCTGCTTGCTTGCATATATATATATTTTTCTAAGTTTAAGTATTTGATGTATTGTAATAGGTTTATAGATTTAGATTAAAATAAGTTTAGCTGTAATGCAAGAGACCTACAGGCCAAAAAGCTGTATGTTAAGTAAGGCAAAGTTAGCATATCTATATTAAGACCTTTTTACCCACAAAGTAAAGTTTACCTACATCTTGTTACCTAAATAGATAAGTTCCCAAACCTATGTCTAAGATCTTTTACCTATACCAAAAGACAATGAAAAATGCTATAGGGTTTTTTTCAAAGTTGTACCCACAGACTTAACAGGTACACCACAAGGGAATTTATGTGAGTATGTACATGTCATCAATATGCACATACATACTAGCCTATGGGGTAGGCGTACCCTAACATTTCTGTGGGTGAGTAATGAAATTTGGGCATAAGAGGAAGGATTTCCAGCACTTGTGCCCTATAAAAGAGGTGACTTATCTTCATCTTCAACTAACTATCAATGCTATCCATCCACGATGGCTATTAACTATGAGTAGGCTGTACTTATTTTCTTTTCAAACTTGAAGTTCCAAGGGGACTAGACTAAGTTTGGTTTCCCTAAACTTTTGTTCTTAGTTTGGTTTATTAGGCTTTAATTTTAATTTTAAGATAGATAAGTAAACTCTAAGTTAGCTTTGACAGCTCTTTGCGTTAGTTTCCTCTGCACACCTCTGCAAGAGGTGAGAAACCGGAACTGCCAGAGGCGAGGTCCTGTGTCTTTCAACAACAGGTTATCAAGAGAGGGTGTGAGTATATTAACCAAAATTTTGCAGCACATAATATTGTATTCTCATATGTATCTCTTGAATAACAGTAATACAATTGTAACTTTGTAACTGTGACTATTTTACCATTTACTTACTATTTCATTGATTTAATAAAGTCTTCATGACTATATCTGCCTCAGTGTGAGCTTCCTGTCATACCCCCGAGGGTCCTTTGTAAATTCTGTGGAACCTGATCAGGACAAGAACTTTTATATTCTGATCAAACAGATTGGTGAGTCTAAAACCCAAACGAATTCATATTAATAATAATTATTAACATTATTATTTAATTATACTTAATTAAAATAAAATAAAATTGATAAATTAAATCAATATTATGACCACACTCTGTATTAGGCTACAGACTGGCAAGCCAAGCAGGAGACTCAAGGAGTGTGTGACAGGAATTTTCAGGCATTCCAGGCATTCTTAAACCCCTAGAAATCTCACCTGAGGCATAAGTAACTGGTTAAAAGTTACAGAGAGTTATAGATTGTGTGTCTAACCCACTCTCTCTTAAGAAAACAGAAACCTAATTTCCTGTGACTGCAGCTTGGCAGCAGTCCCACTATTTCTGGGTTTTGTATTGTGGTTTGATTTAGAATTTTACATTACTTTACAGCAAAATGGAGTCTGGAGTCACATGGGCCAGTCCCTGCATACTTTGCTGAGTCACAAGGCGTATCTGCCTTCTCTCAGTGGATCAATTGTATAGCTGATGGTCCTTAATGGGCCATCAAGCAGGCTAGGCAGAGCTAACACCAATTTGTCTGGGATGTCTCCCAGAAGCATAGCATAATTTTGAAATGCAGACAGTATAGAGCCAATATTCATAACTTCAACTACAAAATTAATACACACATATAGACAGCATAATCATAACCAGCAGACCATAATCTTGTCTTAGACAACTCATTTGACCCCCTTTATACAAGATTTGGTGCCACTACAGTACTTTGGTTGCAACCATGTTCTATATGGTCCCAGTTCAAGTAAATAATGTGACATTGCTACAGACTGGAGACCGAATGGCTAGGCAGCAGTCCTGCAGAAAAGGACCTAGGGGTTACAGTGGATGAGAAGCTAGATATGAGTCAACAGCGTGCCCTTTTTGTCAAGAATACTAACAGCATTTTGGGCTGTATATGTAGGGGCATTGCCAGCAGATCGAGGGACGTGATCATTCCCCTCTATTCAACATTGGTGAGGCCTCATCTGGAGTACCGTGTCCAATTTTGGGCCCCACACTACAATAAGGATGTGGAAAAATTGAAAAGAGTCCAGCGGAGGGCAACAAAAATGATTAGGGGTCTGGAGCTCATGACTTATGAGGAGAGGCTCATGGAACTGGGATTGTTTAGTCTGCAGAAGAGAAGAATGAGGGAGGATTTGATAGCTGCTTTCAACTACATGAAAGGAGGCTCCAAAGAGGATGGATCTAGACTGTTCTCTGTGGTAGCAGATGACAGAACAAGGAGTAATGGTCTAAAGTTGCAGTGGAGGAGGTTTAGGTTGGA